CCCCCCCCCCCCCCCCCCCCCCCCCTATCGTACCTAGTGTGCGGTTTTTCTTTTTCTTATCATCATTTATAACAACATGAAAAAACAAATTATATTCTAGATTGACTGTTTCTATATTAAGTGTGCAAATGTGTTTGTATCTTCAATAATTTGCTTTTTCTATATTTCTTGTTTGTTTTTTTTCTCTCTCTTTCTTTTTTCTGTTTATTCTTGATGTTCTCAATTTTAATTCATTTCAATTGGTTTGGTATTTTTTTAGCAAGTTTTAATTTTGTCGCTCGTTCTCGCTTTTTTTTTCTTTTCAAATCACACGCACACATAAGATCGTATTCTTTTCTTTTTTTTTTTATTCTTCTTTCTCTATAATTTAAAAATTTGTTATTATAGCAAGAGCAGAACAAAGAAGTCAAGCAATTTATTTTTAGATCGAGGAAATTGAAGAATGAAACAAAAGATTGCATGACTTTTTCGATGTAAAACATAATGACTATCGATTTCCGTATTGTATGATTATTGAACATGAAGATGAAATTTAATCATAAGTTATTTATAATGTAGAACATATGTTACATCATAAAAATATCTATTGGAAATATTTGAGAACAAAGATTATAACTTTTCTGGAAATGAGAACATTTCTCATGGGATAAAATACTCTGCGATTAATCTCAGTTTACATATATTTTTTATGATATATAGTTCGATGAAAATTGACGTTAACAGATTCTACTCATTGATTATTCCAGACCAACAAAAATAACGGAAATTAGTTTTATTTCCATATTGATTTGATTCCCTGGATAATAACAAAATCGTTGCTTTAATATTCTTTGCATTTTATTTTCAAATATTGCCCTTGATTAGTCAATAGATAAATAACACAGTAACAAAAAAAAAACAAGAAATGCATATTATTCATCACAATTATTAATGATTGTATAAAAATTAAAATTTAGAAAAAAAAAAAAAACTATACGATAGAATTATTCACAGATATATTTCAAAAAGAAAAATTTCTAAATAAATCACTGTAATTGTTTTATATTTATGGCAATTGTAAATATTTTTTTTCTTCGTAAAATGTTTGAATTATATCATAGATTTGTTGAATGATTTTTATAAATGTTTTATATTGTTCAAATAATTCAGTTTTATGACCATGAAATATAATTTCATCTAATTGTCGACGTGATGGTAACATTCGAAATCCCACTTTAACAGATTGACGAATAAAAAAACCATCTAAAGAAATTTAATTAATCTGTATAATACTATGAAAATCACCGAGTACGTTTACATAAAAAGACTATTTTTAAACGTACTTGTACCAAAAAAAATTTTTTATTCTTCTCTTTATTCATTTTGAATAACTCGATTTGCCTGTGGATTAGAGCCGATAAGGTTCAAAAATTTTCCAACTCGGAATCCACATGACGAGTTTTCATATGTAGTACTGAATAAAACTTTAAAATAGTTGTATTTTTAAATTTTCTTGTTTTTAAATAATAATAGTTGGAAAGAATTTGAAAAAAAAAACATTTTTGTACCTAAATCCATTCTCTATTATGAATAGTTGATTCGAAAATTTTATCGAATAAAGCATCAAACATGACAAAAACATTGAAATTTGCAAAAGAAAAAGACGAAAAAAATATGTTGTTGACCTTTTGTAAATTGAATGTAATTCAATAAAGAAAGGTCAAAAACTTGTCATTTTTACTAAGAATTATTTGTACTAAGTTATTTTCCCTATTACAGATTCTTTCTAGTTATTTTACCATCTAAGAAGAAAACTTGAAGATACAACTACTCTAAACTTATATTTGCTATTATAGGTATGTAATTGAATTGTTTTTTTTGCTTTTTTATCTACACATACATTTGCCTTGATTCGGGCATCATGCGATATTAGTTTAAGGTTTATATTTTTCTTTGTTAGTCAAAGTTTCATTGTTTTGTCTTTATCAAATCAGAATCATGTCGAATCTACTACTTTAACCTTTTTGTAGGTATGACAAAAAAACAAAAACGTTCTTTTTTTTTTGTTTTGTTTATTTTGGAAAGGTAAAATTTTGTATTAGAGAACTTAAGAAAAGTAAATAGAACAAAAAGACATATATAAAATACTCGTTTACACTACATTTTACTCGAGTTTGTTGATTAAACATGAATCAATAAAGTGCAAACAGTACACATTTTCTATTAAATGATAATGCAAAAATTTCACACTATCTGCATTATTAAAGAAAAATAATTTAAAAAAGAAAACAAGACAAAATTTAATAAACCATTTTTAAAAATAGAAGATCCCTCTAGAGAGATCAATGTCAAAGATATTATTAATAGCCTCAAGGCTTTTATTATATATTATGACAACTTCAGTTGTTCGAGTAAAACTTTACCGATGCAATTAAATTAGTTTTGGGTCATACGGCATCTGCATATTAAAAAAAAAAAATTTTTAATTTCTTTTGACGTCAATTATTTATTATGAAGAATAATTTTTCGAAATTATTTTCTATTTTCATCAATAACATTGAAGTTCGTAATCAATATGCACTCTATAACCGACACCTTATTTGCTAACAGACATTAGAACATTATCATAGACTAATCTATTCATATTTCTTCTTTTTGTAATATCATAATTATGATGTCATTTCTATTCCGACAAAGAGTTTACTGTTTTATATCAGTCTGTTTTGTTTTTCCTATCTAATTATGAGATTTATGTATGCTAAAATTTTCTATCATGATTAAATTGAATATTTACGATAGTTATATAATGTTGCATCATAACATTGTGTTGCAATTATTGTTGTATTTTCTGATAATGGTCGATCAACTAAACAACGAAGAAATTCAATAATAAATAATAATGCACGATGAAGTCTTAATAAAGTTCGTGTAAAATTTATTGGATTTGTTTTAATTAAATTATGTTCAGTTTCATATTCAATAGCTTTTTGTATTGTATCAAAATGTAATATTGTACGTTTTTTATCTTTATCAACAAATGTTTGTAATATTCCTAATTTATCAACAACATCATCTTTAACAAATTTAAATATATAACCAAGTTGATCAAAAAATCTATTAAATAGAAAATAACAGTAAAAAAAAACAGAAGTAAACATTATATTTTCTATAGATTTATTTATCATTTACTTCAATAATTCTTTATAACCATCAATATAATCTTGTGTACCAATAGGTGATTTAGGATTATTAGGTTCTTGTAATATAGCAACCCATGTATCATAAACACGATGAACATTAAATTCATTAGATGAATAAGTATTTGTTTTACTATGTAATTCAGTTATATCATTTGATCGATGATCTTTTAATTTTTCTGTTGTTAGATGATTGGAAAAATTACCTGAATGTCCAGAACGTACTTCATGATTACTTGAACTATGCATATTTAACAGTTTTATTTTAAATAATATCAAATGAATATAGAATAACAAAATAGAAAAAAAAACAAATGGCGCTTGATAAATTTTTATCAAATATTTATACTTTGTCCTTGTTATTTTACATGTATATTTATCAGTCAGTCAGTCAAAGTATGAAGGAAAATAATAGGTAACAAAACATAAATTAACCAAAGTATTATTCATATAATTTGTTATTAATATTTATATATTCATTTGAATCATCAAAAAAATAGTCAATGAATACCAAACAGGTAAAATCGATAGAGGACACCTATTTTTTTATAGAAAAAAAAAAATAACCAAAAACAAGCCACATATTTTGTTTGTTCATATATCATACACATCTAATTAAAGTTAAATGTATAATGCTTAAAAACATTTTTTATTAGTTTACTGATATAGTTAGAATTAAGATGTCATTTCCATCGTATGTCAAATACGCATGGATACTTCATAATAGTCATTAGAATTTAATGAAACATATAATTAAAAGATATTTTTGTTTGAGTATAACAACAGAACTTAAAATAGATTTGTCTTTATTTTTTTGTCCTCAATAGATTATTACAGTCAACAACTAATGATATAATGTATGACTGAGCAAAAAAAACGTCAACTTATGTTTATATTCATATAAAACATCTAGTTGACATTGTATAAACAACTAGAAATGTAATAAACTAGATGAATTATTTGTTTTCGCTAGAGAAATATATTTAGAATTCCGTCTGGGAAAAACATATTTATTTTTTTATAATATAAAGTATTTTCTTTTTGTCATTGTCACTCATAATAAATTTCCAAAAAAACAATAAAAACTTTTTCTATTAGAGATTTTACTGCGAAAAAAGAAACACACAAAATAACTCATATAAAGATACATTGAAAAACTCTTATAATTGATTGTCAGACTATATTGTTTAATAGTTATATCATTCTTCATCACGATCGTAAAACTCCGTCTGTTCATACATATATAACAATTTAATATAATTGAACTGAACAAAATTCTCATGTCTATATTCAAAATAAGCTTCGTTTTGACATTTAGTGAAGTGAAAATCTTTAACGGAAACATCGTCAGATGTTTCCGACATAGTAATATACATCATTTCAATAAATTCTTCGAAGTGAAAAATAATCAAGTATAAATTATCCCAATGACACTTTTTTTTTTCTTTTCTTTTCTTTTTTAAAGAATATTTACGATGAAATAACATAAAATTAGCATAAAATTTTAACATAATAGATTTAGAAGGAGAAAAAAAAATAGTCAAAGAAATGAACAGATTATTAACACTATTGAAAAGATTTACTTTTGTTCGAAGCAAAAAAACAAGGAAACGCCAAAGAGCAGTACTCTTAATAATGTCTCGAGAAGAATCGAGGTCTAGATTTACTTGACATATAAATACGAAGCAAAACAAGTCGTTGTTTGTTGAGATGATACACATTTTTACAATTATCGGATTAGATGATACACAGAAGATCCATTACTAAGTAAGTCGACTATCGATTTATTATTAGATTTTCTTTTTTTTTTTTCTTCTATAATGTTATTTTGTCTTCGTTGAGACGAATATTATTTATTATCACCCAATGGAATTTTATTTCTAGTTTTCAAAAAAAGTTCTGTTCTTTTTTTTTTTTCTTATATTGACTCGTTTCTTCTTGTTCTATATGTTTTTGTTACTAAACAACTCGCTTTTATTATTGACAGAGATATTCAATCTTATCAGATTTCATGTTAATAGAACAAAAAAATCTATTCTATTTTACTTGCTGATCTTACATTTCGAAACGTAATCTATCACATATGTTAACTAATAAACAATTACGATGTACTCTATGATGATCAACTATATAAACTATTGTTTATACTCGATTTTGGATACTTGATCTAAGTGCAACTTAAAAATGTTTTTCATTAGTAAATCCATATAAAACAGTAATCTTCTAAGACATCCATATCTCCTTGCTTTAACATGAAAAGATTTACTAACGAGGGGCAAAGAAAAAAGAGAAAATGGATAATATTTATCTAACTGTCATTCATGTATCTTTTTTGTCGATTTGTTGAATATTAAACATCTAGAAAATATTTTCATATATTTTAACATTAAGAATTTCTTTATTATTTTTGAATTATATAGATTAGTTTAACTTTATCTATAAAAATAACATGAGAATACATCTTCTTTTTCCTACTTTCTATTTTCATCAAACAAAAATAATTATCAGTATTCTGTTACTTTTTGTTTCTAAGCAACAACACATTGATTAACGATGATTATAAAAAATATGATGAGATAGAAGATGACATAATGTTATGTTTTTTTTTTCTTTTTTAATATATATTCTAGATGTTCGTTTCATTAACTTATTTAAATTAGATTGATCATCATATTAACAAAACATAGTTTTTTTTTTTTTTTCTTTTTGTCATCATTGACAAAACCGTCGTAAACAGATATTCTTATTTATTCAATATTTTGTTATCCTTGATGGTTCTTTTCTATGGTTTATTGGCTTTTGAAACAGCCAACAATACTATTGCTGCAACAAGATCAACAACATCTCAACGAACAAGTAAAATACGAAAACAAAAATCAATTGAAAAAATATCATCATCATCTACAAATTCATGGATATATACAGAAGATTTAAGAAAACATTTTGAAAAACGTTATATTGATTATCGTTTTGTATTTGTACCTGTTTATGTTAATCAAAATAATTTATATCATAATTCTAATACAAAAGATATATTAACACAAAAAAATCCTAAAGAAAATTCTTGGATGTATTCAAAATCAATTCGTGATCATTTATTTTATTCAACATCAAAAATATCATTACCATTAACAACAAATATATCATCATCATTATCATCTGTTTATTATATAAATAATCAAGCATATATTATACATCATAAATCACAAATAGAAAAAAATTCTAAAAAAAATATTTCATTATCAAAAAATAAATTAACAACTAGTTTATCATCAATATTTACTCCAAATAATTCATCTCTATCATTAATTAATACTACAAATAATTTAACAAAATTTCATACAAATGATATTGTACAAGAAGAAGATGAAAATAATCAAAATGAAAATAATTTAGTACCACTTATTAATAAACATCCGTAAGTTGTTATACATATTTAACATTATAGTTAATAAACATCGATTTTGGTTATTATGTCTCATGAGATTGAAGTTTTTTCGAAAGTATTGTTTTTTTTTCAAACTTTTTGAAAAATATCCATCTTTTAATTGCTAATTAAAAAATACTTGAAGAATTAGCTGGATAAAAGTAGTACTTCTCATATTTTTTTTTAATTAAACATCGAGAGATAGAACCTTCAAAAGATAGAAGTTTTCTTAAGATTAATAGAGTAAAAATGGCCATAGACTCAGAATTCTCACACATTTCCTTCTATGCGATATTGGGAACACTAGAGCCAAAATGACCTGAAGTCTCCCACAAATCGCCAGAACGACTTACAAGGGAACCTTCCGAGGTTACCCCCTCCAATTTCAATGAATTTTTCACCATAGATACTACACAATGTCGTAGTAAAAACTCTAAAAGAATTTGATTGCATAGCCTTTCCTTCAAAAGTTATGATCATTTTACTGAATTTTGGACCCATTCCTAGATATTTATCGAAAAAATCAAATTATGGAATTTGGATCTGAAATTTAGCTGGATAGTAGGTCTGGTTATCCTGAAAGTTTCAGCCAAAAAGAATGTTTCTTTCTCGAGTTATTAAATTTTCAAGTGAAGTCGGCTTTTGTGAGCTATCTGTGATGAGCGGCTATTTTTTCATAATTCAATAACTTGAGAAAGGAACATTCTTTTTGGCTGAAACTTTCAGGATAACCAGACCTACCATCCAGCTAAATTTCAGGTCAAAATTCCATAATTTGATTTTTTCGATAAATATCTAGGAATAATGGGTCCAAAATTCAGTAAAACAGTCATAACTTTTGAAGGAAACACTATGCAATCAAATTCTTTTAGAGTTTTTACTAGGACATTGTGTAGTATCTATGGTGAAAAATTCATTGAAATCGGAGGTGGTCACCTTAGGCGGTTCCCTCGTTAGAAAAATTAAAATACTGAAGGCCCTGTCAGATAATGTGTCTGTTTTCTACCAAGGACAAACTTTGTAAGATCTGTCAAAAATAATCAGAACATTATTTTAAGCAAAAAAAAAAGATATACATCTGGATTTAATCTCAGTTATCACATAAAAAAACTTCACCTTAACGGCTACAGCATCACATTTTTGTTCAAAAAGTAGTTCTGAGAAAAACGCGAAGCAATCACAACAATTTTCATTTAAATAAATTTGATTCTTTTTTTCTAAATGATCACAAAAAAAAGACTTGTTTTCAAATCAGCCGCTTGAATTATTTGACTTGACTGGCCAAGACCTGATTTATTAGAATACAGGTCTACTGGTTGAATATTCATAAAATATAAAAAAAAAAAAAAATCTAAAAGAATAGTCACGAAAGAAGTACATCCAATGTCAGATGACATACAAAAGACAAACCCTAGAACATTTACAAAAACAAAAAAACATGTTATTTTTTATTTATGAAAGAAATTCAATATGTTCATCCAAGAGAGAAAAAGAAAATTACCTAGACTCAATTGTGTTTATTTATCTATCGGTATTCTCCGTTTTGATAATTTTCTAAAAACATTTATATTTTTTATAAGTCGAATCTTCTCAAAGTTTGAAATAAGATAGATCAGGATAAGACTGAACAGATCACTCACATTGCTATCTAGTCTTAAATTTTAAAATTAAAAATTTGATTACAAATCAACTTTCATATAAACGAGCAAAATATATCATGTAACTTCAGTACCTTGAAAATCGAATCATTTTAAAGATTCAATCGAATTGGTAACCAGAGTAAATAAATAAAGATTTTTTTTCTTTAATTTAGTTCTATGAATTCCGCATGCATAACAGTTGAACCATCGAATGACAATAAAAATTTTCTTAATACAACAAATAATAATAAATCAAATACAAAACAAACTAATACACATAATAATCGATTAACACGTTTACGTTCATTTTTTTTCAAATCATCTTCGTCTCTTTCCAGTACTCAACAAACAACTTTACCATCTTCTTCATTGCACAATTGAATTTCAAAAACATAATTATATATGTAGATCTTCCAAATGGCAAAAAAAAATGTATTGAACAAAATAAAAACAAAACAATCAATATATCTTAAGAACTTTTTTTTTTCCATTGAAGATCAATAGATTTGTTGATGGAATGATCAGTAACAAAAGAAAAAACATTTTGTGTTTATTTGTCTAAATCTCAAACACTATTTTTCATTAAAATAAGTTTTACAATGTAATTATCATGTGATATTAATATTCATGTCTTGTAGTTTTTGATTGATTAAATAAAATCATGCCAAATAATTTGATGATTCCCTTAGTAATATTATTAATTAAATTCTTTCTATTATAATTCTAGTAATTAACTTTGATTAGATATATAAAAAAAAGAAAAGCTAGCCTGTCAGTTAAGAAATGCTTTTAGAAAATATTTGATTAACTTGAAAGAATTTTGATTTTTGTCTTTTAGCAACAATTATCTAATTAAAAATTCTTGATGAAATTATTTCATTATATAACTAATATTTACTTTATGAAGATGTGAATATAAGAATATAAATCTTATTGAAATTTTTCTTCATGTTTAAGTTTCAAGTCGAAGCAAAACAAATCTAAATTTTTTTATATTCCTTATCAATTCAACATCGAGAGAGGTTTCGTTGTCAAAGACATAATTCAATATCGGAGACAGCAGAGTCAGATTATTTGAATCTCAGAAAAAGGAACACAGCGTGAATAATATCATAGTCTTGCTTTGAAACATAAAATGAGATTTACTTCTCCCATCATATGTTCATATGATTAGCAACTATATTCTCCAGTTTTTGTTATACTTCTAATATAATTTAATATTAGAATACTGTAGAAGTTTGTTTTATTGAAATAAAATATGAATATATATATATATTCGAATCCTATCTTGATGAAAAGAACCTCTTGTATGTCTGCTACATGTGCTTTGTTCTTTTTTTTCGTTTATGGATTCTGTTGTCTTGTAGGAAAATGCGTTGTAAAACATTAGTACGTTCTTGCGTAGACATACACAAGTATTATTGTCCATTGGTATTGATATTAGTTATTATCATGTGACAACTTTCTTTTTTTTGATAATTGAATTTGTCGCAGAATTTTCTGAAGCATTAACATTTCCAGAACTGTAATGCAGCATAACATTTTAGCTATTCTTCTGTTTATTACGACTTTTTTATCATTTTTACTCAACAGATAAAGGTCAATTTTATTATTGATTATACATTAGATAATAAGATCTCAATTAAACAAAAATGCAAGAAGCAGAGTGGAATATCATATACTCTTACTTAATTAATAATTATATTGACCTTTGTCTACTAAATAATAACAATTGATATTAACAATAAGAGAAGTAGTTAAAATGTTACACTACATCAGAATACTAAAAGAATTAATTAACCACAAAAGTTTTGTAATTAGTCTAAATATTCGTCATTTCAATTCATTTTATCTAAGATATATATATGAGTGAATCATAACTTTTTTGTACGATAAGTGTTTTCAAAGAATAATTGTAATATGATTCTTTTTAAATTCTATTCCTTTTCGTAGTCTTTCATTTCACTTTTATGTTTCTACGATGTATAGTTTCTCAGCTGCAGCATTGATAATTAGAAAAAAATGTCATTTTCAAACGCGATGTATGTAAAGAATATGCTTATCTGAGAAAAGAAAAAAAAATGCAAGTAGATTGTTTTATAGTTTTGATATGGCCCTATCGAAATATGTGATGCAATAGTCTATAAATGTTTCTGCTTGCATACTTCTACTGTCGACATTCGATGACAGACACTTTTTCTTTATTATGTACAATAATACAAAGCCACCGCATTTCTGCATTCCTGGAAAGACTTGCCTAGAAAAACAATATACGTATATATATATATATGTAAATATTAACCTTATAGGAGCACTCAAAATATTATATATTCACTCACTGTGTATAGGGACATTTTAAAACTTTTTTTTGTTGTGCATAACTCACAAATTATTGTTCCGATTTCATTCAAACTTTAAGATTAAATCGAGCTCAAAAACAAGTATTCTTTTCAGATATAATTAACCTTAAATGATGAACAATGTGAATGTATTAAACTTTCTTTATATTCGCTGAAGTGTTGACAGAAATTTTGCTATATAACATTGGCATAGTGGTATAATCAAACATGACATTTGTAAAGAAAAAGTTCTCCTAAATGTCTAATTATTGGTTGTTTTTTCTCATCTAATAGGTTATACTACGCAATCAGTCATGCTGATTTCGAATATCATTAGGAAAGCGGCAGCTAGAATGCCAAAGATGCAATTTCCATAAAATCAATTTTTCCTTATCAAAAAAAACTTTTTGACCCGTCCAAATTGTAGAGCATGTCAAATTGACAAAAAAAAACCAACTTTTTAATCTACTCTATGGAATTCTCACAATTGAACAATCCCATTACTCGTTTAATGCCACGCAATTACAATGAAATGTATATGAATGAGTGATTTTTGTTTATTCCACATGAATAGTTTTACATATTATATTCACTAGCTATTAGCTTGTTTTCCTCAATACACTAAGTGCAACTTATATCTACTATATATTATTTGGCCTAAGAATTATGCTTTCTCTTAATAACCCTATGGTATTATTTTCTTAATATTGACGATAGGAAACCCTTAACTCTCTATGATATGATGTGTGGGTGTTTGTCATGGCCGATGGCTCTGATACGTTTATTCTGTCTTGCCTATGCTTCTTATTGTTGTTGTTTTTTTTCTCTCGTCTTTCTTTCGAAGAAGATAAACATTATCGGTATATCAACGTGTGTGAAACAGACGGAATATTTTTCGACAATATGCATATGGTATGTTTTTTGCTCTTTTTTAATTTTATTGACAAGGCAGAGATTAATGAGAAAGGAATTAACAGTGTAAGTGAACGAGATTCATCTAGTCACGCGATTGATTCGCAAATCGAATTAATTTTATCTTTAACTTATATTTTTTCTTGCATGCGAGAATATAATATATGTACACGAGTTTGACTGAGTGTTTTCTAGAAATTTACATCGAATTTGATATAAATTATAGAAACTATGAAAAATTTTTTTCTTATGTAATATTTATTATTAATAATTGTAACATCTAGAAAACAAAGTTCGATTGAATATTTCTACTTTCATTATGAGATATATTATCATCATATTCACGCGATCTTAAATCATAGAATACTGTTGAACATGTAAACTGTTACTTGATTTATGTGAGAGAAGTGTAACTTCGACAAGTCTCTAGTGTTGTCCTAAGAAATATATTCATCATTAAATATCCATTTGTCATAATCTTTCAGTTGTAACTAATTTATTTCTTGTTACGTAAATATCATTTTTATCCCTTCCGAAAACAAAAAAAGAAAAAACAGAAAAATTGACCTTACGTAAACATAAGCTAAAAAAAGAAATAGTTTAAATTCTATACACAAGACAATATTCACGCACATACATATAGATAGTGAGAAAATGTATTATTTTATGTTTTTTTTCGTTGTTATTAAATAATTTTCATTATCATTTAATTCTGAAGGATTAAGAATATTTTGTACAAGATTGTTTTGTATTAAAATTAGTTTCATAAAGTTCATGATCATTTTTAAATGGTATTAACTGTTATGTTGAATCATTATTTATTGTTTCTATTTTATTATAACTATAATAAAAAGATATTACTCTATAAGATATTTTTCTGTTTCAATTGTTGATCGTTCAAATGAATAATGTAAAATTGAATCATCAGATAATTCTATTTTAGTGTGATTTGTTAGATCAAGTCTTAATTAAAGAAAAGAATAAACGAAAAAAAGATTTAAATAAATAAGAGAAAAATTTTTTTTGTTTTTACTTATATTGATCAATTATTGTTTGATAATTTTCTGAATCAGATTCATCCGAATCACTTGAATATTCATCTTTATTTGATTTATTTTTTCGATTAAGTATATCTAAATCATGTAAAAGTATACCCGCATTGGCATAACCTGTATATTTTATCAAACAATTGACTGAAAAAAAAACATACATCAATATAATTTAATCATTAAATATTGAATCATACCATTTTCTTTACAAAGAACAAATAGTAATTTAGCTGACAGAGTTTTTAATTCATAATTTGAATTTATCATTTGATGTATGAGTCTAGAAGTATTAAGAAATCTTAATGATAGAACTTTTCAGCAAGATTCATCGAATCTACTTTTTACTGAAGATGACAACAGTTTGAATGCGGATATAATGTTAGAAATTTATTAAGCGAACTTTTTTATTTCTATTTGACTTGAAGAGGAGTTATGATTTTCGAAATAAAGTCTATGTTGAATTTTAACTGTGAATTCTGTCTTCAATTGGATTGTAAATTCTAATCTTAGGTTAAATTAAGTTTTCGATGTACTTTTAGTCTCATAAAGGATTCTAACTTTGTGAGTTTGAGTATGAAAGTAGTAGTTCATGTCATCTAAATTTTACTTGTTTCTTAGTGTTTGTTCGTCATTTGATGGATCAAAAAATTCTTGATTAAGTGATAAAAAAATGAATTGTCGACAATATTTTCTTATTGTTCTATTTGATTGACACATAGATATAAGAAGTTGAAGAACGGGTGATAAAGTTTCTTTAGTATTATTTGTTTTCTATAAAATTTATGAAAAAAAAATTAAAAAAAAAATTCTTTTTTTTTCTTCTACTTCTTTTTTTCTAAATCGATAATCAAGAAATTGAAGAATAATATTAATAGCTTTCATATTTTTTCCTTCATGTTCATCATAATCATTTTCATCTTCAGATACAATTGGTGAAAGTAATTCTTCATAACATATTCTTGGTATATTTGTTAAAAGATTAATAATATAACTAAATTAATATTAAATTTAACAAATATCTTTTTTTTTTGTTTTTTTTTTCTTCTTACTTTTGTAATTGAATTTTTTTTTTATCTGTTGTTCCATAACATAAAAGTAATTCTCGAAGTATACTAACTAATCTCATTAAATGAGCTTCTTCTTCTTCTTGTATTGTATATGAATATGTTAAATTTGGTAAATCAATAGTTAAATTATAAAGAGTTTTTAATATTTCAATTAAATAATCAATATCAATATTTGATAAAATAATACCTAAACATAATAATAGATCATTTCATATTGATCTTCTTCTTTTTCATTAATATGAAACTAATTAAAGACCTTTTTAATGTTTTATGATAAACAGCTTATATAAAAGAGAAAAAGAAAAAAAGGTAAAACAACCCGAATTTTTGTCAGAACTCTTCGACATTTGTATAAAGGTTATAGTTCATCATGAACTAGAGAAATAAAATAAATACAAATGTACTTTAATTATCAATAGCTTTGTTGAATATTTACTAATCAATTTTTGTTTATAACTGGTAAATAAATTCGATAAGTTATTAGGAATTTTTTATACTCGATGCAATATTAATTGTTTCTTAATATATAAATATATTTTCTGATTTTTCTCTTCAAAAAACTCACCGGAATTAGCTGAAGCAATTGAATCACTTTTTGATAATATAATTTGATTGATAATTTCAAATAGATATGAAAGTCCATGAAATTTTTCTCGAATACGTTGTCTAAAATCGATTTAATTAGAAAAGAAATAGAAATTCAAAAAAAAAAATGTTTACCTGATATCAGAATTTAAAGCAGTTAAAAGAAAAAGCATACGCATATCAAAATATCTTATAATATCATTTAATTTAGTTTCTGTTGTTTCTTTAATACGATGTGTTATAGCATCAGCAACACCACTAGCACTATAGAATTTTTCTACCTTAGGACTCATATAAATTAAATAAGACATGCACTTTTCTGCTTCAATTGCATCTAAATATTTTCAATAGCAATAAAAAATAAATATTGATTTTTATTCGATATTACTTTGTATATCAATAGGATTAATTTCAACTTTATTACATTCAAGACCTGACAATTTTTGTAATAATTCCAGCACCGATGATTCCATAAAAGCCTAATAAGAAATAATAATTAAATCGATAGAGAAAAAAAAACAAATTAAATTCTTACATCAATTTCATCACCTTCTTGTATTAATAAACATAATGCTTTTAAGCAAAGATTAATTGAATTTGAATCAAATGAATGTAAACGTGTAAAAATTTCTTTAACAAATCGTTGTTTTATATTCAAATTCAAATCATGAAATATTGAATTATTTCTATTCTATATATATTTATATAGATATAATAAAACCCAAAAGAATCATAATGAAATAATATTTACTTACATTTTCATATAATCTTTGAATTAATTGTAAAAATTCTTTATCTGATAGTATGTCCAATTGATTAAAATCATTATCTGACATAGCCATCAAAGATTTTTCTAGAGTTATAGTAGAACAATTAGAATAATGCAAACAAAATGAACTGTTGTAAGAAAATAATCTGAATGTAAATAAGACTAAGAAGAAAAAAGAAATATTTGTGAGTCAGAATATATCTGTAGAAATATTCACATAGAAGAAAAAAAAAAGAAGAATAAATAAATAAATAAATAATAAGCGTTTATATTAATAAAAGAAACAAAAGAACGAAAGAAAATGTCATACTGAAAGTCAACAGAAAAACAGACGATGAACCAAATAAGAAAGAAAAAATAACCAGGTATAAGAAAATCTAGTTAGTCAAAACAAAAATAGAAAAAAAAACCAGTCTAGTGGCATCTGAATTTGTATTTGCCAATAACGAAAGAACATTTTGAGTACTGCTTCAAATCAAGTATTCTTTTAAAGTTTACAATGCCAAAAATATAGTCGTATCTGAATAGAAAACAACCCCTTGAGAAATTCGAGATGTTTATTATCAAAAGAATATATTATATGTCTAAATCTTACGAACACTCGTTGATTTTTAATAACTCTTGAGAAATGTCATAAGTACATTCATTCGAATTTAGGCACAAAACACTTCATGCAATAGATAAAATAATGAATTGACTAAAATTCTCAATAGAATAAAACTAGCATAATCAGTATACGATCTTTTCATATTAACATAGAGTTGTATAAAATAAAAATTCAATTGATCTAAATACATAATTTCTAAGATAATATTTGCTAAATGATGATTGATCTATGAATAAAACAACATAAATTAAGATGATGTGAAAAGAATTTTATTTATGATTCTATCAAAAGAAATATAAGCAACCGGAAAACAAAGATTATCGTAGAATATTCTAAACAAATTCTTTTATATAATATATCAATCAGCAAACCAAAACAAAACTATGTCATTTTATCAGTAGAATAAATCAATATGATAGAATTTTTTTTTTTTTTTATTATTTATTTCAGATGATTATCTCTAGGAAATCAATAAAAGATTATTTTATATAGATAATATTCAATATTTTGTTTTTAATCTAGAAGTAATTTAATTTCGAAATCAATAAATTTATCAAAAATAAAAAAAGAAATGCAAAGATATGTGTTTGTTTTTTGTTTATATATTTGAATATTCTTATTTCTGATTTATTTTCTTTTCATGTCAATAATTCATTAACTAAAATACTCGATCAAATGATCAATTTATTTTACTGTCAAAAAGATCATTTGAATAGAGAATTAAACATTAAAGATTTATAATTTTAATATTAAATAATGATTTATTGTTTTATGAATATAATCATTATTATTTTATTCATAGTGTTTTATTATCAGAACAATTAAAAGATAATATTTTTTTTTTTCATGGTATGTATGATATATTATATTATATTATTTATTTATTTATTAAAGAAATTCATTAAAAATATTAATTAATTTTCTGTTAAATTAATAAGTATTTGTTTTCTGTTTTTTTTTTTTCATACAGAAACATTTTTCTATAATATAAAGACTATAGAGAATATATTTCTAAGTATCTAAATTTCACTCGATAACATCTAATTCAATATTCTTTTTAGTAATTACTAAAAAGTCATGAATGTAATCTTATTTTATCAGTACATTAGATATTCCATTAACAGATAGGCTATTGTTACTTGTTCCGTTTCGATTATCATGTTTGATTTCATCGTAATGATATACAATAGAATGAATAAATTCAAGTATAATTCTTTATTGGATCTAATAACCCTTATATATTTTTCTACATTGTAGTAGAGACGATCGCATTGTCGATATGTATCTTACATTTCGTATTGCATCTATAGGATGACATCAATAAACAAAACAAGCACATTGATTGTCTTCTCTCATCATGTCTCTTGTCTTTTACAAGGACATATATTCTCTTTTTTTCTTCTTTAAGGAGACCAATACTGATGGAAAACATAAGATTGACACGTCAGAAGAACACAGTCAAGATTTATAAGCGAGACACTAGGGAAAAAAACAGACAGAATTTGACATAACTAGGAAAAGAATTATTGTTGTTAGGACAAATAAGTTCAGAGACATCCGAGTAGAGTATTACTTTTCCAATCTAATACTATTGTTTGTCTGTTTCCTATTGTCTTGTGTGAATCTTCTATCTATTTATCGAATAGAATATTTTACATAGGTTTGTAGATTATATAGCTAATAAAAAAAAAATTAAACGAGATATTTATTTATTCTTGAGAAATTTTCAGGTGAGAATTCTATAATCAAATTGAATAATTAATTTATATTTTATTTTAGGCAAATTTTATGATGTCAATTGATTGCACAAATATAACATGTACATTTACAGGTAATGATTAATTCAATTTTCATATAAAACATTTAGAATAAGTTAAATTCATTTCTTATATGATTATAATGCGTCTATAAGTATTATCTCCATCTTCTGGAAGCACTCATAAGATGTCGCAACTCGCGCGACACGTTTTTTTTTGTTCTATTAATTCAACTAAAACTCTCAATCATCTTTCATTTTTTTTTCTTCTCTATTGTCATTTTGTTTCACAGTTGGCTTAGAAAACAATAATGTTCAAGAATAAATCAATTTTTTGTAATTAATGTGGGTGCAATCCTCAGTAGACTTTCTTTTTTTTTCTCTTGTTATCAACATTGTAAAACAAGTATTTGATATCAATAGCACAATATATATATATTCTAATACATTTCACATTTATTCACAAACATACTAAGTAAAGCAAATCCTTAAATCAGGAAGACATTTTTAGAGACGTGCATAGTCATTTTTTTCTAAAGCTCGCCAATAGTTTATATATTGCCTATTTACACTCAACGACAACTATTACTAATATTATCACGAACAAAATATATCTTCCGTTCCATTCGTTTCTGAATCTTGTTTTCCGTCGTCAATTCTATTATTACACTCGACAACATTCTGATCGAAAAAAAAATGCGGAACAAATTCAACAAAACAAAAAAACAAGTTCCTCTATTCAATGGTCAATATTCTATCTCAATCGGATTGATTGCAAACTCGAATAAAACATACTAAAAATAAAGAACGATTTTGAAAGCATATCGAAAGCAAACAAAAACAAAAACAAAGAAGACACAATATTGTTTTTGTACATGCATAAGTGTGCAACGTATATTTTGAGAAAAACATATAACTAAGTTCTTCCTTTCTCTTTCGCCTATCATTCCATTGATCCAATCGTTGATTACACAAAGTAACAGCAGCGAAAGAGACAGACAGCATGAAGAGAAAGAAAATGATGCTACTACTACTATAGCTGTTGTCATTCTCTTGATGGCGTTCTAGTTTTCTCTTTGTGTCGCGCATATAATTAGAAGCGACGCTTCTTGAAAATCGACACATACACACATAAAATTGCTTTTAACTCGAACACCATCCTATCGTTGAATCTTGAACGTCAATACATCTTTTATCCACTTTCATCATTGTCTATTTTAAGTCCATTTAATAACGAATGATCGACTGGGCTATTATTAGAGAGAAACACAGAGAGAGAGAAAAAAAAAAAGGAAGGAAAAGAACGACGAGAGGAGAAAGTACTACTATCACTAACATTACGGCCTTCGGTAATTAGAGAACTTTTTGCGCACATGCGCATGTGTGTCTACGATTGAAAACGAGAGAAAGAGAAAGAGAGAGAGAGAGAGAGAGAAGGAACAAGAGCAAGAGAGAGCGCGAGAAAATCGAGTTCGTGTACAAACATTACTTTGATAAAAAAAAAGAATGTTGATAAATCGTTCTCCACGTCACCACCACCATCAACAACAACCACAATAACAACAACTTTGATTGACTCACACGACAAAATCTACATATATCAATAATGGCTCGCCATTCACCATTGCCTCGTTTTCGTCTTGATACTGATTCTATTTCGGAACAAAATAATAATTCAAATGTACGTGCAACATCAGCATCACCAAATATGTCTCAAACAAATTCTAATCAACGTTCACAAATTCGTATACGACGATCAGCTTGTTCAGATTTACAAAATACAACTATACCAGAAGAACGTATATATCATGGAAATCGTCGTCGTGCTAGTTTATTTGTTGGTCGAACACCAAAATTGACAAATAATATAAAAAATAATATATCAACTGATAATCATCAAGAATCATCTGAAGGTGATTATATTAAATTATGTCGACAAAGATGTCAATCACTTTATAAAACATTAGCTAATAAAACATTACCAATTAATACAAAAAAAGAATCATTTCAATCAAATGATCATAAAAATCCTATTACTACTACTACTACTACTAATAATAATAATAATAAAGATGATGTAGAAGATGATGATGATGAAATTAATTTTAAAATACCACCAAGAACTAAATATCGATATTCATTACCTGATGCATCACCAGCTGCATTAGCTTTAAGAAATATTCTTAAACGAAATAAAACAACAAAATATAATCATCTTCGAATTGGTTTACCAACACATTCATCACATTCCTTACCTTCATCTATAGCAACAAATTCTTCTTCAACAATATCAACATTCCGTAATTTTCTTTCTTTAGTGAAATCGCCTTCAACAAAATCGATTAATTCCACAACATCTCATCATTCAAGTTTAACAGCATTAACAAATACAACTGGTGGGTCATCAACCACACTTGATCAAACAACATCATCAATTCCTCCAACTAAGCAATGGCATTTTGAAGTAAGCACATATGCATAGATATAGACATAAATTCACTAGGTCGCTAATCACAGAAACAACTGTTACTAGATGAATGTGTCCTATCTATACGACCTATATTCACATAAGTAAATACAAGATAATTTAGTCGAATAGTTGCAAGAATGAGAAACTAACAACAACAAAAAAAAAAAACAAGAAATCATAATAATCTCAACAACAGGTCTATGAAATATTGTCTCAGTAGTCGAGTTTAACTGATTAACA